CTCGTCATTTACTGGAATTTGGTTTTCCTTTTTAATCTCCTCACTCTACCCTACACATATGCACATGCACATATTACTGATTTTACAAAGCACTTTTTTTAACATGGCCCATACTGTAGCAAATTAATCCATGGGACCTTTGTTGAGGGTTTTGAAAAAATGGATCCTAGCTTTAAGATTACTTTATCATGTTTATTTTACCTGCAATCAAGTTTGCCAGTCTAAGTATTCAAAGATAGTTGGGCAATCCAGCACTATGAATGCATGCCGTGGGGCAAAGAGGAAGCAGGATGGTTGAGGCCACCTGCACCAGAATATTCTCTGCAGATCTTCAAGGCCTAAAGCCCAGATTGCTGCCTAGAGCCTGGTAGGCAGCACCCCAGAGAAAGCCTTTGGGTTTGTTCTCTGATTCGCTTCCTCTGATTCGCTTCCTCCCTGCCCGCTTTCTCTTCCCACACTCTCTGCCTCTGGGAGTCAAGGAATATCCACCCAACACCAGATTAGGCAGAGTTGGGGAAAAGTGTGTTTCTAATAACATCTACCTTTTTTCCTTCAATAACTGAATTCAAAGCAGAGCTCTAAAATGCTCATAAATTGACCTCTACCTTCTAATATATTTTAAATACTAAAACAATGATGTGAGAAGATCCAAACACCATCTGCTACAAAAATAAACAAATAACCTTCAAGTCTGTAAAGGTTACCTAAAAGAATGAAGAGTAATGAATTGTACAGCTTCGACATCTATTTATTCTGGAGATTATTTTTTTCACTGAGGTCTTCCTTCGCGTTCACATCATGTATTTCATTTTGTTTTTCCACTCTCTTACCTTCTGCAAAATTCCCTTTTAATGTTGCCAGTGGTTTCTGCTATTACTATTGGCAGAAGAAATGATAATGATTCAATACTGAAGTCTAAGAAATAATCAAAATTCTTACAGTGCAAAATTTTTCTATTTAATCTATTTTCTCCTTTTAACATTCTCTCCATCTTTACCCTTTGTCCTCCAATTCAAATTCTTACACTTAACATTTGAAGTCTGATTCCACTGTTGGGCCTAAATTTTATCTCATGACTTCCCAATCCAAAATCTCCTTCCTTTTTAGTCACTTCTACTATTATTTCTTTTACCTAAATTTTTTTTCTGTCATTCAACAATCCAGAACTTAATGAAAAAGCACCTCATTTTGAAGATCTTTCAGAGAAAATCCACAAAACATACTGCTTTTTCATTTTTAAATAAATCTTATCTTAATGATATGGAACTGTACACCCAGGCAATATTTACCTTGTCATCTTACAGTTAAATAAATCACAACACAGAAGGTTGACATTGCCCACTTCAGCATCAAAGTTTGATAAACAGAAGTGAGGAGGAGAGGCCATATAGAGAGAGATGAAGAGAACCATGTTAGAAGGAAATGGCAGTAATATCCAGGTCGATACACACACTTACAGACCTGCAGGAGTATGCAATCACCACCAAGAGAAGGTGATGACAAGTGTTGAAATGCTTTAGCTGTCCAGCACTGGACCAATGTCTACCAAAGGCAGAATGTTCATCTTGACTAAACACTGCCAATTATGCACTTATGACGTGAATAAATCACAAGGAGCTCACATGGAGTTGCTGACATAGGCAATTCTCTGTAGCAGTGGTATACTTTGTTTTCGAGGGAATATACATGTTCTACTCCAACATTGGAGGGATAGCCAGCACTCTTAAGGATCACAGGTGAAGGAGAGACACATTCTGTCTAGTGGATCAGAAAGCTTGAAGAGCTTGTCAAGAGTTAAAGTACTAATGAGGATGGCAAATTCAGAAAGGGGGAGCTGCATGAGTACAGAGATGTGAAGAGTCAATGTGCTTAGGGATATGTGAGATCAGGTCCCATGGAGAGAAGCTAATGTAGATCAGGCTAGAAAGGGAGACTGCGGCAGGTTGTAAAAGGCTTTAAAGACCACACTAATGAGTTCAACTTCATCCTTCAATGAGAAAGGGACAGCAAAGCTTTTGAAACAGACAGATGTCACAACTCTCATACAAAACCCTGAGTCAGGAAAGCGGCAGGGGAATTCAATCTTTCATTCATTCGTCTATTTGTTCAAAAATTTCTATTTTGTATCAATATACTAAATACTCAGGATATAGAATTAAAACAAAAAGACCACACAGGCATAGTCCCTGCGCTAATGAAACTTACAAACTAGCAAGGATAATAGTCACCAAATAATTACAAAATTATTACACATGATACTGGTGATCAATGGGAGGTGGAGAAGGGAGGAGAGGAGAGAATGGTTCCACACTGGATGGATACTGGTGCTGTTAATCACAATCAAAACAAAACAAGGGAGGGAAAAGCCACTTTACGGCTGGTTTATACAGGGTCAGAAACAGCTTGAAGTGCTGAGTAACGTGCAGGTGGAATCGACCAGTAAGTCGTACTAGAAGGACTGCAGCTCAGGAGAGTCAGGTTGGAGATAAATCCGGGAAAAGATCATTTCAAGGAAGAGAAGAAGCAAAGTGTTAATGGTAGTTTAATCATTTTTTTCCAGTAATAATTTTCTACAGCGAATGGAAAAATAGTATTAAATGCTCCCTCCAAAATAGTATTGGAGGAAGGAAGATATGTTCAGATCATCTATTTTAATCTAAGTCAACACCAATGGCTCTGAAAGTGCAGCCCTCAGATCAGCAGCATTAACATCACATGGGAACTTATTAATGCAAACTACGGGGCCCCACCCAGGAGCTATCAAATCAGAAACTCTAGGGGTGGCCAAAGCAATCTGTTTGATAAAGCCTCCAGGTAACTCTGATGCACTCTCAAGTTTGAGAGACTTGCCTATCATTAAAAACAAAAAAAAACCTATGTCATTTTATCTGTTGGTTATGTTTAGCAAAAAAATTCTGAAGGTTACTACTAAAGTTTGCCCACAGGGTTCTCTCATCCATGTACTAAACATGTGTTCAGTGTCTATTCTACGCAGGGTAGTATGTAATGTGGAGAGAGATCAGAAAAAGGCATACATTATGGTCCCTGCCAACAAGAAACTTCCATCTGGTTAAGAAGACAATATGTACATTTCAAAAGTTAAACCAGAACATAAGTGTTACATTTAAACCAGAAGCAGGAGGTGAGGATGTCGGGGCTAAATGAGCAGTAAGGGCACTAAATGCTCTTGAGGAACACTTGAAAGCAGGAGTTGGACCTATGGTGACCAAAACTGAACGGCAAGAGTTTGAATCTTGATGTGAACTTGCCGGGCCAGCCCTGTGGTTTGGCAGTTAAGTGCTCGCACTGCGCTGCTGGTGGCCCGGGTTTGGATCCCTGGCCCGCACCAAGGCACTGCTTGTCTGGCCATGCTGAGGCGTGTTCCACATACAGCAACTAGAAGGATGTGCAACTAGGACATACAACTATCTACTCCGGCTTAGGGGAAAAAAAGGAGGAGGATTGGCATGGATGTTAGCTCAGGGCTGATCTTCGTCACACACACACAAAAAGTTGATATGACCTTTCAATGAAATACTGCAAAAGCTATAATTTGTAGCTCTGACACCTAAGAAGAGGTTTGCTGGGCTTCGGGATGGTTTAATGATATACCTGAGGCGGGAAAATGAGTAAACACACTTACGCAAGTAACTGCCAACAGAGGTGATGTTATTGACCTCGCCCAAGGATATCGCAGTATCCCGGTTTGCATTCGTTTGAGCACCCACAGCGACCTCAGCAAAGGTCAAGTTCCTTTTTAATAATGCTTTATACATCCCAAGCTATCTGCAATTATCAAAATGCTTCCTAAGAAGCATTTATGAGTAAAATGTTCCAGTTCTAAGTCATCCCCTAGCACTTACCTAAGGGGTTTAGTGGTCCCTCTGCGTTGCACTACTCTCAGAGATTGGACGCCAGAAAGAGCAATGGCGCGGGGCAGGAGTTCTCTGTGAGTACGTGCTGTGTGCAGGGCACGCTTTCAAGCTCAGAACTATTATTCAATACTCTACTAAGTAATCACTTTTCGTTTTCCCTTCCAAAGAAGATGCTCTTCGGTTACGGAGGTAGCCGAGGTAAGCCACCCTCCCGGACCCAGCGCTCTGGTCCATTACTCGCCTCCAAGGGCTCGGGACAGAAACCCCACTGCAGCGTGGGCTTACAGGCGGGGACAGTGCATGGGGCAAAAAACACACCAACCAGCAACCGGGGCGAAAGTGCCTCGGGATACCACTGGGTGGAGAGCCGGCAGTAAGGGCGGAACAAAGCTGTCAAAGGGCTTTGAAAATGTAAATCCTCTAACGTGGATCCCCCCAAGGGACCGGGCGTGAGCCACGGGCCAGACCTCGACAAGCTTCTCCGCTTGGCAGGTAAGACGCCCAGGCAAGCGCTCCAGTCCGAGTTCCCTCTCTCACTGCCGCGGGGCCGCACAGCCAAATAGGGGAGTAGAGTAGAGGGGAGGGGCCCAGCATCCGCCCCCTTGGCTGTGAACTCTCTCCTAGCCGCGGCCAACCTGCCTGGGTTCCCGGCCTCTAGAGGCGCCCCTACCCCAAGACCCTCAATGCAGGGCGCACACCCAGCTCCTGCTGCCTTCCCCTCTTCCCCTCTTAAACTGGTGCGCCCTCTTCGCCCCGTTCCGGCCGCCAGGGCCCCTTCCCAGCCCCTCCCAGGCTGCGGCGAGGCGGGGATGCGTGCCCGGGAGGACGCCAGCGAGCCTCGAAGGGCGCTGGCGGCGGTGCCACGCGTCCTCCCGCCGCTTCTCAGCCTCTCCGCGCACTTCTTTGCCTCGTCTCGCCCCATCGGGGAAGCAGATGCAGAACCAAGCCAAAGCAGTCACGAGGCAAGGAAGGCGTCGGCGCGTCTCGGTGCCCCGGGTCCGGCAGCACTGATGCCAGCTCCCAGGCTGGAGAGGATGGATGCGGGAGAGGAGAAAACACGGGCATCGCTCGGCGTTTCGTCCGCGTTCTTCTAACGCATGGCCTTCCTCCTTACCCGCTCTTTACCTTGGACCAGGCGCCCCCGGAGCCGCGGGCAGAGGCCCAGAGCCGTTGCCAGGAGGAGAGGACTTTGAGAGCCGCCATGTTCGGGGTCCGGCTGCAGGAGGCTGCGGGCTGGAGTGTGCGTGTGAGTGTGTCAGAGCGCGCTGCCCCGGCCGCCGCCGGGCCACTGGGAAGAGAGGGGAGGGAAGGCGCGCAGGGGGCGGGCCGGAGGCTCGACCGCGCGGAGATGACGTCCTGGGGCCCCCCGCGCTGCGCCTCCGCCGCCCGCCGAGGCTGAGCCTTGTAGAGAAGCGAGGCTGGGAGGGGCCCCGCCAGGAGCTTAAGCTCTGCGCAGTCGCGGGAGCGCGGGGACGATCCCCAGCTTCGAGGCGGCCGTGTTTTTTCGTGGTGGGGCGTGTTCCAGGCAGCTGTATTGGCGCGCACCTGTCCCCTCAGCCTCCTAGCCCCATAGGTTTGAGGGGGCGCAGGTGTCTGCCTTTCCCAAGATTAGAGATAAGTGTAGGGGCGGAAAATTTTTCCTTCTTTCCTTCTAGGTTCTTTTGCTGGTGTAATAATCAAATTGACATAAAACAGAGTAACAGGAGAAAACAAAAGTTTAATAACATGTCTATCTCCTGTATACGTGGGAGATACCCAGAAAAACTGAGTAACTTGGAAATGGCAGAAGCCATCACCTTAAATACCGTCTTCAGCTAAAGACAAAAGAAGTTGGGGTTGGGGAGTCAGTTATGAGAGGTTATTAGGAAAAGAACAGTAAACAAGGGTAAGGTGGTTATGCAGATTTAAGTCGTTGCCTTCCGCATTGACAAGAGTTTCTGGAGATAAGGTCATCCAGGTCTTTCTGGTACTGCTTTGGGAGACACCGTTGCAAATGAAGATTTCTATTATACATGTGACTGTCTCTTACAAATGGGTAACTTCTACTTAGTTTTTATAGCTTTTCTTATGTCTGCTGTTTCTTAAAAATAATCAGCCTAAAATAATTCTTATGCTAAAGAGGCACATTTTGGAGTGACAAATTCTGCTTCCCTTCATAAATGTTTGCCTAGCATCCACAGCGGGTCTTGGGGCTTGTTGCTTCTCTAAATCAATGTCTGGCAGGTGAGTGGGCTGCAAGGGGGTACCCCTCCAGACCCCTTACTTCTCTTGCCCAGCCTGGACAGCTTCCCATTTCTTCCATTTCTCAGTCCTCTCTCTCTCCACACCTTGCCCTAGCTTGTGTAGAGTAAGTTTGCTCTGAGAACCTGCCATGAGCCATCTGCCATGAAGTGTGACCAGGCAGACAAGCCTGGTCAAGAGGGACAAGATTAGGGCCCCTGGGACCTGATCTTAGCACACTTTCTCCACCTTCTTCCCCATCATCCAAGTCAGTATTTTTCAGGAACTTTCTGTCACTGGAGTCCCAGAAACAACAGATTACTGAGCCTATGCAAACATACAGGTGTGTATCCCACTGAATGACCTTAGGCAAGTTACATAACTTTCTTAAACCTAAGTGTCCTAATCTACAAGTTAGGATTGCTTACAATACTCAGAACTGTTATAAAGTTTACATGAGCTAGTTCATGCCAAGCTTGTGGCCCCATTATAAACACTCAACAAATATTAGGCATTATTCCAGTTTATTCAAGTTGCAGTGGTAGGGCCGGCCCCGTGGCTTGGCGGTTGAGTGCGTGCGCTCCGCTGCTGGCGGCCCGGGTTCGGATCCCGGGATCGCACCGACGCACCGCTTCTCCGGCCATGCTGAGGCCGCGTCCCACGTACAGCGGCTGGAAGGATGTGCAGCTATGACAGACAACTATCTACTGGGGCATTGGGGGAAAAATAAATAAATAAAAATCTTTAAAAAAAGTTGCAGTGGTGAATTGGCATGGCACATACATTCTCTAGAAACCTTAGCTTGACATGAGTCAAGTCTGTCTTTTTCAGAACCATCTATTCACTTATCAGAGTGGAAGCACCAAGTGGAAACTCAATAAACATTTTGTTTGATTAAGGGCTAACCAAGTCCTGAGAATATAGCCGTTAGTTTTGAACCAAAGCAAACAAGAAAATTAAATGAGACCTTAGCTTCCTTGGTAAATACACTAAGGTAATGAACAATCACAGTCCAGTTTAAAGTCTGTCCATAAAAGCACTTGCCCTTTCATAGTATTCTTTTAGCTCTGAACTCTTTCTTTTTCTCTATGAATATTATAATTTTAATCAAAATCAATGAGGGAACAGAATACTGTGGAGGAGGAAGAAATTTTCCTCTCCCCTGCTAGGTTCTTCTGACTGGTCTAAGAATTGAATTGACATAAGACAATTAACAGGAGAGTATCAAATTTAATTTTGTATGTATAGGAATCCCACATACATAAGAGGTTCACAGACCCCACATACATGAGAGGTTCAGGGACAGAAAGACAAAATGAAATATTGTTGACAAACAAATAGCCAGTTATTTCTCCAGCAAAAATGGGTTTATTCAAGATCAGCAAAGACTTGCAATTCAGGATCTACAACCATGGAGAACCACATGCAAGTCCCCCAGCAGCAAGGGAGGAGAAACTCTTTTATAGAGGAGAAGAGGACATTGAGAGGGCTATTGTAAACAAAGAGACCATTGGAGGAATTGAGACTTCAATGCATAGTGGCTTTTCATTGGCTGAGTTGTGGCAGTCTCTCATTGCCTGAGCTTCTTGCCAATTAAGAAGAGGAAATCTTTCTTCTTCCTTTTGGGCTCTGCTATGGATATAGGGCGTGAGAATTCCCCCTTTTGACCTCCTGCCTCCAATTTAATGAGGTTTCTGTTTATTAATTTGAGATTTTCCCCTTTTGATCAAGATCTTTCTCTGAAAGCACTGCTGATCGACAGTCAGGTTTTTCTAGTGTTGGCAGCTTTTTGTCACTCAATTTCAAGAAGGACTGTTCCTCAGTGTCCTGTCAAAGGGAAAGTGCACAGATTGGAAACCTACGGAGGCCACATTTGAGTAACAAGGAGGGATAGAAGGGAGAACTCTCAGGCATTTTTCTTTTCTAAAGTCCTTGATATGTTATCAATAACTTGATATGTTATCAAGAGCATAGGCATCAGAGATCATCTGAAGTGTTATGTCATCATCAAAAGTTTGGCAGAGAAACTTCCAACAGACCTGGTCCAGACATCTTGAGAAAGCTTTCTCATCAACTGTCATCTGCTTCAATTCCAGGAAATCTTTACTTTCAGGTCACCAGATGATGTGCAGTTCCAGTCAGGGTTTGGTGCTGTCTTTAGGTGTATCACGTGAATCCAAGAGTCTATTCCCTGGCGTTTTGTGGCACAAGAGTTAACAGTACCCAATAGGAGCCTTTCCAGTGAGGTTGAAGAGAATCCTTCTGGAGGTATCTTTTCCAATAGAGAAAACCTCCAGGTTGCAAGGTGTAACGCTTAAGGTCTTCAACTTCCTGTAGTGCACTGTGAAATGATTGATCTACTAAAACATGGTTCTTTTTAATAGAAGCAGTTAGGCCTTTGCAATATTGGAATATACCTCCTTTTATCAGCTATGGGTCAAAAGAGGCAGGAGCCAAGTACATTGGGCATCCTGTGACTGTCTCAAAGGGTGAGAGTTTGTGAGTTCCAAAGGGGATGGATCTGAGATTTAGAAGGACTAATGGCAGTGCTTTTGGCCAAGGTATTTGAAAAGTCTCTATAAATTTTGCCAATTGAGTCTTAATAATGCCATTAGTGTGTTTGACTAAACCAGAGGATTGAGAGTGATAAGCCCAATGAAAGTGCTGTAAAACAGGCCAAACAGCACAGACTTGTTTAAGTACCTGAGCAGTAAAATGGGTTCCTCGATCACTATGAAGTTCAAGAGGAGTTCCCCAGGTAGGGATAATCCTTTCCAAAAGGACTTTAGCCACAGAAGAGGCAGTAGGCTATTTGCAAGGAAAGGCTTCAGTCCAGTGAGAAAACATACAAACCATGACTAAAACATATTTAGATCCATAAGATGGAGGAAGTTGTATGAAATCCATTTGCCAAACTTTGAATGGTCCATTAGGCATTCATGAGCAGTATGAATAGGCCTCCCTGGGTTGTATCTTGGACAAGTGGGACAAGTGAAGTGGGCGCTTTTTGCAGCCTTGTTAATATTTTGCGACCAATATTGATTCATGAATGCCACCATTTTGTGAGTAGACCAATGGTTTAATGCATGTATCATGGTTGGAAGTAGGAACATTAGAGTCTTCAGTAGGTCTGGGTTGTTATTTGGTCTGAACCAGAGCTTTCTCTTTTTATCAAACCAACAATTGTTGAATTTCCAATCTTGTTTTGTCTCTTCTGACGCCAATTGTTGGGCTTCTCTAGTTAGTTTTTCTAAGTTATCATTAGGGGAAATATCCCTTTGAACCATGACAGAGGCTTGGCTATTGTTGGTTCCTTTAAGGGCTGCATTTCTTGAAGAAATATTAGCAAGATGATTTCCTTTGGCTTCCAGAGAGTCAAGTTTAGAATGCCCTGGGATCTTAATAGTAGCTAAAGCAGCAGGTAAAAGTATAGCATCCAATAATTTCTTAACATGGGGGCCATTTTTAATTTTATTTCTGCTGGAAGTAAGGAAGTCTCATTGCTTTCACAACATTCCAAAATCATGAGCTACTCCAAAAGCATATCTACTTTCAGTAAAAATATTGGCAATTTTGCCCTTGGCTAAAGTACAAGCCTGTGTAAGAGCGTATAATTTAGCCTGTCAGGCCAAAGTAGCATGTAAAGATACTGCCTCAATAGTATCAAAAGCAGTTGCAATAACACACCCAGCACAATATTTGCTATTGTATCCTTTAAATAAGAACCATCAGTAAACCATGAGAAATCAGCGTTACTCAAAGGAATTAACTGCAGATCATCGTGAGGAGTCAGGAGGTGATCCATCAGCATTAAGCACTTGTGAGGGACTTCGTTGGTAATGAAGAAAAGAGTAGCAGGGTTAAGGTTATTACAACTTAAAAGAGTTATGTGAGAAGCAGTTAACAAAAAGTTTTCATAGGAGGTGAGGTGGCTGGCTGAAATATGTTGAGTGTGATGAGAATTCAGGAGGGCTTCTACTGCATGAGGTACAAAAATGGTTAAAGGGGTCCCACAATGATTTTCTCGGTGGCCTTAACCAAAAGGGCAGTGGCAGAATGTATCTAATGCTGGGGGCGGGGGGGGCGCATTCCCATGCCACAGGGTTCGGTTGCTTGTTATAATACCCTATAGGTCAATTGTGGTCCCCCTGTTTTTGGGTGAGTACCCCAAGGACATTCCTTTCCTTTTCTTATATAAAGAAGAGAAA